ATAACCATTAACAATAGCCATTTAACAAAGAAGAACATCAATTATATAATCGGAGGGAAATAATTCAGGACTTGCAGCAATAAAATTCGACAATGGATACCAAAAAGCCAAGTAATTAGAAGGGGACGGAACTTTTCAAGATCTAAAGGGCAGCCTCTGAGTAAAAAAGTGAATATATTGTTTTAGAACAGAGGAATGCAGGGAGGTTGTCTGGGACTTTACAAGCACAACTTTAAAAGCTTAGTCATGGAATTCATGTCCCTAGAAGGTGTCTTCTTTTATCTGACGAGATCCTATAGATAGAGGTTCTAAAAACATTAGCAGTTACATCTGTCAGGTCAATGAAGAAAGAGGCCTGAATTAATTTTAGGACTGCTTCAAGAATAACAGGCAAGGAATGATCGTTTGAGAGCTTTACACAACATTGGAAGAAGAGGGGTTCTCCCCCTCGGAAACATATGAATACCACAGCCCCGTGTAACAATAGGCCAGGGGGTCCCCAATGGGGTGCCTCTGGGTACCATGTTGCCTGCCAACACCTTTTCTGCCAAGTGCTTTTAGAAAGCGGGCAGGTGGAGCTTTTAACCAGCAGGGCTTGTGATTGGCTGGACGATTAAAAAAACATCCTGTTAAACAGAACTTTTCTGCCTGACGTGTCGTAAGAGCTCTCTCCCTGACGGTTTTTTGATTGGCTCCACCTCCTCGGCAGCCATTTAGGGATTGGCTATGCCTCCTGGGACAGACATTTTGTGATTGGCTCCACCTCCTGTGGCAGATGTTTTGTGATTGTGCCCACTGCCTGTGTCAGAAAGGTGTCCACAGGCTGAAAAGGGTTGGAGACTCCCGCAACAGGCCTTTTCAGACATTAGATTCCTGCAGCCTACCAGCTATCCGTAATGATAGCACAATCCGGTGATATGCATAGTCGCTATGTTGTATGAACAACAAGAAGAAAGTTGGTTTTATACCCCACCTTTCACTACCCAGAGGAGTCTTGGAGAGGCTTACAATCACCTTCCCTTCCCCGCCCCACAACAGACACCCTGCCTCATTCTTCAAGATGATACCATTGTGCTCCAGCCCAGGTGTTGCCAACAGCCTGAATAAAAAGTGCACTGTCCCTTTAACAGAAGAAGAAGAGATTGGATTTATACCCCGCCCTTCACTCGGTGTCTCAGAGCTGCTTACAAACTCCTTTCCCTTCTCCTCCCCACAACAGACACCCTGTGAGGTTGG